CCGGTAATCGTATATACAGGGGGGGCGGCGCCAACATCGATGGAGAACGGCTCAACTATCTTCTGTGTGCAGACGACGTTATCACTTCCCCATTAACCCGGCTGAACTCCACAAGCTCATGTGTAGTCACAGAATTAGTCATGCGAAATGGATGCACAATGATCACTGCCCCTCAGGTCCCATCTTCACAGACGGAGAGTAAGTGGAGAGTATCGTTAGCTATGTATACCTCGGTAACCTAATGGACATCAATGATGACATCAACGGAGAGATCAGCAGAACAGGGTAAACGGCATAGGCAAGGTTCAATCACGTAAAAACACCCCCCCCCGGATAACGAACCGCCCATGTTCACGAAGAGAGACCTGATTGACTCCGTCGTCCTATCCACCATCACTTATGGCGTTCGGTGCTGGTCTGCCGCCAAGGCTGAAGAAATGTAAGTAGTAGAAATGCAAATGTGGATGGAGAAAACAACATGCAAAGTCCTTCGTCGAAACCATGCTCCAAATGTGATGGTTTGGTGTAGGACGATTTTTACCTGTACTCCTGTTGTACTCACAACTCGAAGAGACAATGGGTTGGCTATGTGGATCGTCTGAAGGACAACAGCTGTACATCCCAGATGCCAACTGCCAACCTCAGCAAAAGACATCCGCTCTGTGTTCCACTAACGCGCTGGAACAACCCAATGGCCGAGCTGTTTGGTCAACCGTTTAAGCAAAAGGCAAGCACCAAGAACAGCTGCGTTACGTCGACTCTTGACGAAAACAAGTCGGATAAGATGAATAATTGATTTGAATTTCACACTGATATTAGTAACAAAGGCGTTAAAGTTAGAGCACGCCCGATTTTGCGGCGAAGTTCCTTTCGGAATGAAACAGACACTCAACTCTCGCGTCATCCGTCTCAGATAAAATACATAACATATGGCCAAAATGCTATCGAGCAGTGGTCAAATAATAACTAAAACTGTTATGTGACGGAATATAATAACTGAATGAAAGTCATCAGTCAGTCAGCCAATCAAATTGAGGTTCTTACACGACCTTCCAGATCGTAATCGAGAACTGATTGGTGGTTATTGGTAAGATTCTGAAACTGCAATAATATGGCGCAAAAGAAAACCTCCTCGCTGTGGCTATTAAGTCTCCTCATTCCATGGCAAGTTGATGAAAAGAGTCGTGGCGGAATCTTTCCAGATTTTGTCGTCAAGATAGCAATATATGAGATTGCATATTATGATGAAACGAACAAGCGATTTCCTCCTGAAAGTGCCAAACAGAAAAGCGCGGTACATGTCCATAAAAGGTTAACCGGTTTATCTAAAATGTAAGATTACATAAAATAATTCTACTTCTAGCCTGTACACTAAATTATTTGGTAACTGACTTCATGAGGGTCCATAAATCAGTGCATTTCAGGATGTTCATTTGTACTACTAATAAATTTTTCACCGGATGGACTTGCACTAATTTAAATTAATTAGATTTGTGACAATAATGGCAGATACAGTCGTTGAAATAGATTCCTATTTATGTATTTTCCGGGGATTAAACATATAAAGCCGGATGTACATAATTTACGAATGGCCACCCAGCAGAACTTCTGAGATTTTAATGAATCAGCAAATTGGTGGGGGTTACCTCTTTCATGGCTAAATAGTTTTCGCCATAGTCCAAGCGAAACGTTTAATGAAGCGGGCGAATGGATGAATCAATAATTCAGGCTGTTGTGCACCGTGAAACCTAGAGAGAAAAAACGGAACTATTGGGATGTCGGCTTCTTTTGATTCCTTCACTTCCACGAGACAGAGAGCGATACCATTTTTGGCACTTTCGCAAAATGATGATATTCTTAATGATACCATCAACCAACATTGCCATATTTCTGAACTTTCTATGCATAATCACGTGGTCCTCATGACATAGCTTTTGGCCTCCTTGCTCAGTAGTTGTGCGGCTTGGGATGACCAGTCATGAATCTGGCGAGTATTCAAACAAAAAATCTGTTTACCAGAAGTAAGGTACTCTTTCAACAAGCGATTTCCCAAACAAACGGTAAATTCTGCTAGTTCTGACTTATATTTTGTTGATTTCTTCATTAGGCACTCGGATACAATCACGTATGTCAAAGTGATAGTAAATTATGCAATGTCGTTGAGAACTCGACCTGCGTTATAAGTGACAACGTCAACTGGCCTACAGGACTGAAAGCTCTGCTCCTTCTTGTTCATGTTCCCTGTTAAAGGCAATCAAAGTCAGCGACTTGAACTGTACCAAAGAAAGCGATTATGGTTCATCTATTTTCATAAGAAAACGTTCGGTCAAATGGAAAAGAGAAATGGAAAACTTAGAGCTGGTAAGATGTGAATCTCCCATGTGTGTGTGTGTTTGTGTGAGTGAGTGAGTAATCGTCAATTAAGCTCCACAGTATGAACATAACGTTCTATGTTCTATATAATAATGTCTGCTGGACGGCAGGAAGAGTCGTAATTTTGGACATGTTCCATTGCATTTGCGGAGATACTCCTAAGCCATTGCACGCCTGCCCGTAGTAGGTTCTTTCAAATTAGATGTTGGCCGCTGAAGTGGTGATATCAGTAGTTTGGATCCCGAAATATGATTCTTCAAGTGACTGATTCTTTGTCCTTGCACGTGGTATTTTCAGACCATGAAATTCATCGTTCTTGTAGTGATGAATTTTAGTATATTTCGGCTCTGCTCAGTAACTTCTAGTTTTCTCGTTGAAACCAACGAACTTAGAGAATGTTGTGTACAAAACGTTGCTGGAACGCGTTTAGGTTATGCTTATGTGATTTCAGCAAGGTCAGCAAAAATTGGATTTCTTCGATGCTTAGCTACTGTGACGAGGTTAGACATCGTGTCTGCGATATCATCGATGAGAGTATCATTTTTGAGGTCGAGAAGTCAAAACTGCGATTGTTTGGACATATGATATGAATTACAGAAGAGGCAAGTCGCGAGGCAATGCTGACAAAGCCGTATGAAAAATGATCCAAAACAGACCGACTAGTCGATGGCTGATTATTAACAAAAGCGTCATTACTTCTGCATTGAAGTTAACAGGTTTGTGGAAGACCGGAAGCCTCCTGAACTTTGGTGAAACTTGCTGAAGCTTTTCTCTCAGAGACCCTAAGGGAATCTCTCGCTGAAATATTGCTGAATAAATGTAATTGATTCCCTGTGTTCAGGGCTTATTGTCTAAATGAATGAAGTCAAATAGCGACTGATGAATGAGTGATCATTGTTAAATTCCAACGAGATCGACAAGGGTTTAATTAACATTGCAGTGCAGTTAACCAGTCGTCATGTAGATCACGAGGTAGTTGTCCGTTATTCGAAGGGTGATCCATTCATCGTTATGGATCTGTAAATTGCATTATGTAATGAGTCCAAAAATGAGTTTCAGTTTTGTCAAGAATGAAGCGTAAATCAGTACCCAACCACAGTATACATCAACAGGGTAGCTCTGCATCCACGAAGGAATATCGGAGGTTATCGTTGCATGAAGTAACACTGCAGCCGAGTCGTGCAGAGTTGATCGTGCAAGGATTTTTTTGTTTTAATAAAACCGCTTGTCGCACTGAAATTATTTGTCGTGCTGTCAAGCCTGTGAACAGGAAACAACTCACTGCTTGTTTTTGGCCAATAGAAGTGACCGGTAATAGAAATTCTCAAAAACTAAAACAATACGGGACTAAGAAATACAGAGATGTATCTAGCTCTATGTAATTTTCTGCTATGACATCACACATTGACTCGGAGATCAGCAACTTGACCGCTCGCTTTTTGAAATAACGTGACACATCAGGTGAACAAACAATGAATAACAAGGTTACAATTCGATTATTCCTCGGATTTTATTGGCTAATAATAAATTCAATTCGCAGTATGATACAGTATAAGGCTTGTTCTACTGTTGACTAAGAACTAAGAAGAGGAATTGCAGAGCACAACAGCATCAAGCAATACAACGATGGCGATGCAAGAAAATGGACATGGCATTGTTTGGATTTTGTCAGAGAGCTTTGAAAAAGTACAGTTCTCAAAAACTGTTAATAAAACAAACTGAGGACCGCTTTCACAAGAAAAAACTTCCAAATCAGGCTAGTCCTGTTTCACTGTCTGACAGGTGGTGAGGGAGGCACAGTTCAGCAGACACATAAGTCTCGTTCAGCGTTGGACAGCAGCTTTCGACTTCACGTTGACTTCTCAGGCATTTTGGTGCGTGCAGCGTCGCGTGGAAGTCGGTGGTGTTACGATCTCGATCTTTCCACATGACGATCTGAGATTAGTCCGACCATATCCGACGGCACTCTCTTCATCTCCTGTTTGCTCATCATTATACCGTCCTGGATGTAGAGCATCGCCACTGCGGAGAGGATCAGAATTGACGCCACTCCGAGAATGATACTGAACACTGAGATCCAGATGTTCCTCGATTCACCTCCGCCCGGAACCATACCCAGACGCTGGTTCTCCGCTCTTTGGCAGTAGTTCGACAGCTCGTGCAACACCGAGCTCAGCTGATAGGCATTCTGATCGCACAGGGTCTGGAAGTCGTTCAGCACGACGTTCTTCACTTCGTTTATCCACTGCACGAACCAAAGCATATTGCAATCACACTGCCATGGATTGTCTGCAAACATAACTATCATATATATGCGTAAAAATGATAGATGTACAGTATTGCAATAAAAAATAGTACTAATCTGCAATTTTTCACAGAAAACTCTTCAGAGTTACTAACATTCACTGATCAACCTCTAAGCTGTCTGTTCATCTGCTAAAGTTGTTGGCTAATTTTGCTGTATGTATAATTTCAGTTTAGAAGGGTAGCGTCTATTTAAAAGGGAAAATTATATCCACTTGTTAAGGATGTTTGTAAAATCAGCCTGTCTGTACGGTTGTGAAAGACGGCGGCAGCAATCTAAAAAGCATCTAACCGATCGAAGTGAAGTGCCATCGGCGTCTGCTGTAGATTCCGTATACCGTACATAAAATAGGTGATCAGGAAGGAGGAGGTACCACTGCCAACAACAAAAAATGCGACATTTTCTTCAATCTTAAGACAATCATCGAACCACCGTTCAAGAAAGAAAGTCGAGAGGATGCCCACCGAAATACTGGAATAACAATTTATCAAGAAAATAAAAGAAAATATAATCCTAATGGTCTACGGTAGCTACTAAGCATGAAAGCTGTCTGATTTCGCTGCCGATAGCGCAATACTGGTACCGTATTTACGCATAAAACTGTATTTTCCGGAAGCAGAGTTGTAAGCTGCAATTCTTGAGAGCAACCCCAGATCATCGCGGTTATAACTTCTTTCATTTTCGTTATATTTGCTCCTGTTGCATCAAACTCAGCGACACGATGTATGCGCCACCCTATGCATTACAGGTGCACAAATAACAGAGAGCCGTTGTCTGCTTAAATGGTCCTTCAAGGCGGC